ATTTTGTTGAGGAATATTCCTTCTTTACCTCATTTGCTGAGTTTTTTAATCATGAAATGATGTTGAATTTTGTCAAATGCATTTTCTGCATCTATTGAGATGTTCATATGATTTTTACCCTTATTTTGTTAATGTGGTATATCACATTTATTGAATGGTGTATATTGAACCATCTTTGCATCTCAGGAATAAATCCCACTTGGTTATGGTGTATGATCTATTTAATGCACTGTTGAATTCAGTTCGTGAGCATATTGTTGAGGATTTTTGCATCTGTGGTCATCTTATTACTGATTCAATGTCCTTACTCATTGGTGGTCTGTACAGATTTTCCAATTCTTCATGATTCAGTTTTGGTATGTTGTACATTTCTAGGAATTTATCCATTTATTCTAGGTTAACCAATTTGTCAGAATATAATTGTTCTCATGATCCTTTGTACTTCTGTGGTATGAGTTGTAATGTCTCCTCTTTCATTTCTGATTTTATTTATTAGAATCATTTCTCTTTTTTCTTAGTCTTCGTAAGAGTTTGTTGAGTTTTTTCTTTTCAAAAAAAAAACAACTCTTAGTTACATTAATCTTTTCTATTTTTTTTTCTAGTCTCTATTTCATTTATTTTTGCTCTGATCTTTATTTTTTCCTTCCTTCTACAAATTTGGGCTTAGTGCATTCTTTTTATAAAGTTTTTTGAAGTGTAACATTAGGTTGTTTATTTGAGACCTTTCCCTTTTTTTTTTTTTTTTTTTTTTTTTTTTTTTTTTGGTGTAGGCGTTTATTGCTATTAAATTTCCTCTTAGAACTGCTTTTGCTGAATCCCATACGTTTTGGTGTATTGTGTTTCCATTTTCATTGTCTCATGGTATTTTTTAATTTCCCTTTTATTTTCTTTAACCCATTGGTTGTTCAAAACCATATTGTTCCATTGTGAAATTCTGCCATTTGCAGCAGCATGGATGAGCCTGGAGAAAGTTATCTTAAGTGAAATAAGCCAGACACAGAAAGAGAAATACTGCATGCTCTCATTCATAACTGGGTACTAAGAAAGAAGAAAAGAGAGAGAGGGAGGGAGGGAGGCAGAGAAAAAAAATACTAAAATATATGTAATGTCTGGATAATTTTAAGGAAGAAAGATTTTTAAAGTTTTTTTTTTGTTAGTATTGTTTTATAATTCTCTTTAAGTCAATACAACTCTATAGTCATCATAGGTATTTCAAAGATTGGGGAATCTTTTGATGTCTTTTTCTTCCCTTTTCATCGTGTGTAAGAAGACTTTTTCTATTAAAAAGTTTTAGTTATTTCAGTTTCTTAACGGTGAATTCAGAAAAGCTGGTAAAATGTGGACATTTCAAATGTACATAGCTACATACTAATTTTACATTCAAGAAGATTCTATCCTTTGCTTCCTGCATACCGATTTGATTTCCTCAGTAACTAGTAACTAGCAATTACAATTTCAGCAAAAACAAACCAACTCCATGGAAAAGAACAGGAAACTCAACTCCTCTTTGTAGCAGACTTGTGTATCTTAACTCTTCTTAATCCGGCTACTTACATTTTCCAATAAAACAGTGAC